GGAGTTCTTGAGGGTCCTGAAGAATTCGGAGATATCCTGAGGAATCCTGAGCAGCCCCTCGGGATCCTGAGAAACCCTGGGGAGATCCTGAGGAATCCTTGGGGGTCTCACGGGTTCCTGCGGGATCCCGAGGAATCCGAGGGATTCAGGAAGAATCCTGAGGAATCTTGAAGGGTCCAGAGGAATCTAAGCGAACCTTGAGGAGTCTTGATGAAAGCCCAGAGGAAGCCGATCGGATCCTGAGGAATCCTTGTGAGTCCTGGGGAATCCTGGGGGATCCTGAAGAATGCGAAGGCGTCCTGAAGAATCCTGCAGGGGTACCCTGAGGGGTTACTGAGGAATCCTTAAGACTCCTTCGGGATCCTGGGATATCCTGAGGAGTCCTCGGGAATCCTGAGGAGCCCTGAGGTGTCCTGAGGAATCCGGGCGAATCCAAAGGAATCCTGCTGAGCCCAGAAGAAGCCTAGGGGATCCTCAAGAATCCTAGTATGTCCTGAGGATTCCTGAAGAGCCCAGCGGAATCCTGAGAAACCCGAGGGGGATCCTGAAGAATCCTTTGGGGTCCCAAGAGTTCTTGTGGGATCCTGAGAACTTTGGGGCCGCGGGAGAAATCCTGAGGAATCTTGAGGGAGCCTGACGAAACCTGGCGAATCCCGAGGAATCCTGACGAATGCTAAGGAGTCTGGAGGAACCCTGAAGGGTACCCAGAGGGGATCCTGAGGAACCCTTTTGGGAACCTGAGGAGGCCTTCGGCATCCTAAGGAATCTTCGCGGGTCCTAAGGAATCATCGTGGACCATGAGGAGGAATCCATTGGACTCGTTTAGAGGGTGGGGGGTCCTGGAGAATCCTGAGGAGTCCTCGGGAATCCTGAAGAGTCCTGAGGTGTCCTGAGGAATCCGGACGAATCCAAAGGAATCCTGATAAGCCCAGAAGAGCCGAGGGTATACATATGGATCCTAGTACGTCCCGAGGATTCCTGAAGAGCCCAGCGGAATCCTGAGAAACCCGAGGGGGATCCTGAAGAATCCTTTGGGGTCCCAAGGGTTCCTGTGGGATCCTGAGGAACCCTGGGGCCTCGGGAGGAATCCTGAGAGATCCTGAAGAATCCTGACGAATCCTGAGGAGTCCTGATGAGTCCAGAGGAAACCTTGGGGATCCTGATGAATCCTGTGGAATCCTGACGGAAGCTAAGGAGTCCGGAGGAATCCTGAGGGGTACCCAGAGGGGATCCTGAGGAATCCTTTGGACACCTAAGGAGGCTTTATCCTGAGGAATCTTGGGGGATCCTGACTCACTTGGAGGGAGAGTCCTGGGAAGTCCTGAGGAATCCTGGGGGGCCCTGAAGAGTCCTGGGGTGTCCTGAGGAATCCTTGGGGGTCCTGAAAATTCGAAGATATCCAGAAGAATCCTGAGGAGCCCAACGGAATCCTGAGAACCCCAGGGGGCGATCCAGAAGAATCCTTGGGGATCCCCCAGATTCCTGTGGGATCCTGGGGAATCTCTGGGGTTCGGGAGGAGTCTTGAGGAATCCTGAAGGGTCCTGAGGAATCCTGGCGAATCCGAAGGAATCCTGATGAGTCCAGAAGAAGCCCAGGGGATCCTGAGGATTCCTTGTGGGTCCTGAGGAATCCTTGGGAATCCTTGGGGATCCTGAAGAATCCTAAGGAATCCTGAGGAATCCTGAGGGGCACCCTGAGGGGATCCTGAGGAACCATGGGGAATCCTAAGGAGTCCGTAGGCGTCCTGAGGAGACATGGTGGATCCTGAGGAAACCTGAAGTGTCCTGACGAATCCTTAGGGAATTTGAAGAATTCGAAGATATCCTGAAGAATCACTTGGGATCCCAAGGATTCTTGTGGGATCCTGAGGAATCCTGGGGATCCTGGAAGGAGCCCGAGGTTGAGGATCCTGAGGAATCCTCGGAGGTCCCGCGGAATTGCTCTTGAGGAATCCCGAGGAATCCTTGGGGGTCCCAAGGAAGCGTTGGAGATCCTAGAGAGTCCGGAGGGGTCCTAAGGAATCCAAAGGAATCCTGGAGGATTCGCGGAAATCCCGCGGAAACCTTTGGAAACGCGACAAGAATGCCGACCCTTTCTCCGGCCCCGTGGGGCACCTTGCGCTGCCGCCCCAGTGCCAACCCCTTCTCCGGCCCCGTGGGGCAAGCCATCGGTTGCTGGAGCTTTGCTTACCCATAAGGAATAAGCTCTAGAAGAAGAAGATCTCAACAACAAGCTGGGGCCGGTGTCAACGCCTTACCGAACAACAACATCAACAACAACAACAGCAGCAGCAGCAACAACAACAACAATCATTATAAGATTGTTCGCTCTGATTTGCCCGCGTGTCATTCAAAACGAGCTCCCCAGACCCTCGATGACGGCCTTTTTTGTTTGCGATCACACCCCCTTTGGGGGGATTATTTTTCTTTGCGGGGGGCAGCGGGCTTAGACAGGCGGGCAAATCTGAACGGGCGGACAATCCATCATGGGCGTACATGTGCCCGCCATTGGAATTGGTGAGGGCCCTGCAAGAAGAGGAGGGGGAGAACGAGGAAGAGTGGGAGGAAGGGAGGGGGAGGGACGAAGGAAGAGGGAAAACGCCAGGAGAGAAGGAGCGAAGAGGGGGGCGGTTGATTAGAGGCAGAGAGAAAGAGAGAGAGAGAGAGAGAGAAAGACAGATAAGAGAGGTAGAGAAATAGAGAGAGAGGGGAGATAGGCAAAGAAAGAGGGAGGGAGGAAACAGGAGAGGGGAGGGAGAAGGCAGGAGAGAGAGGAGGGATGAGGGAAGAGAGGAAGGAGAGAAAAGGGAGGAGAGGAGGGAGGAGGGAGGAGGGAGAGGGAGGACCAGCAGGAAGTTTAGAGCGTGAACGTTCGAAGAAGTCCTAGGCGAAAGCGCCGTTCCTGAAGGAAGTCTTGGGCGGGAGCCCACGACCGGCGGGCGATCCCCTGACGGGCGGGTCGGGCGGGTGGGACATTCAAGCGGGATGCCTGAGTATGGCGAGAGCGCGATTATTAAGTAAATTGTAACGGCGTCCTTGGCGCAGCGTGTTTCCTGAGCGTCGAAAGCGCGATTTCTGAATCAATTGCATTGAAGTCTTAGGCGACAGCGCAATTCCTGAATAGAATGTGAAGGGTTCTCTGGCGGGAGCGGGGGTCTTCATTAAATTGCGAGGAAGTCTTGATTCAATTGCGAGGAAGTCTCAAGCGGGAGCGCCGTTCCTGAGTACATTGTGAGGAAGTCTCAGATGGGAGCGGGGGTCCTGACTAAACTGCGAGGAAATCACACGCGAAAGCACCGATCCTGAGTAAATTATGAGGAAGTCCCAGGAGCGGGGGTCCTGAGTAAATTTGGAGGAAGTCTCAGGCAGAGCCGTTGTTGTTGTTGTAATCCGGGGGGCCAGAGGCTCAGTTTGAGCACCAAGACTTTCCCTGGCAAAAAAACAGGGTGCGAGCGTCGAGGGACACACTTCGATCGAGAAGAAGCAGAATGCACCGGTGAGGGGGATCAACCATAATTATTCTTCAGAAGTGAGAGTTCAACAAAAATCATGTTAAGGCTGCTCGTTCTTGTCTGCTCGCGTGCCAGTCAACACGTATATCCCATTAGGGGTACATCTTTCTTACCTGCAGCGTGTATTTCGTGCAGCCCCTAGGGCAGGGGAAGAGAGGACGGATAGAAGGAAGGGACAAGGGGTAGGCGGGTTGCTAAGCCTGCGTCCTGCATGAATCGCAGTACTAGCGCGCTTCCCAAATACATCGTGAGGAAATCCTTTGAGACTGAGTCTTGAGTGTCGAGGGCGCGGCGTCTGAATAAGTCGCGAGGAAGTCCCACGCGAGAGCGCGATTCCTGCATGAATTCTGAGGAAACCCCGAGCGAGAGCATGTTCGGGAATACGTTGCGAGGAAGTATCAGGCGGGAACCGTTGTTGTTCTAACTCGGAGGCCAGGGGCCCAGTTTGGTGACCCTTCATTTTCCTTTGTAGAAAACAGATTGCGAGCCCCAGGAGAAGCACTTTGAGTAAAGAACACACAAGGTGCCCCGGACGGGGGGGGATCAACCATAATTATTCTTCAGTAGTGAGAGCTCATCATCAGCAGCAACAACAACGACAACAACGACGACGACGGCGGCGACGACGGCAACGACGACCACTACAACAACAACAACAACAACAACAACAAAACAAGTCCCGGAGAAAGGGTCGGGACTTCCGAGGACCCCATATTGAAGAAAATCAAATTTCGGACGTCTGGGGAGAGCGTTCCAGGGGTGCCCAGGTCGTCCCGAACGGCCGCCGGAGAGCTGACTCATGATTTGAAAGTTGGGAATGAGCGCTAAGTGGGGTCAGCGGGTTCTGGAGCGGGCCATGTGAAACCAATTCCTTCCCATAATTCCGCATGGCACCAGCTGGGGTTCGCGATATGGCTTGGGCATGCGTTCGCTAACGAGCATGCAGCCAGCAATCAACACGCGGTTTGACCGGCGTCCGTACAGGCGAGCACTGCGCACGGAAGCGGATTGAGACACGGTTTTCCCAACGAGCTCAAAATTTGTGTAGCGGCTTCTGGGCTTCCGATTTCATTCGTTACTGACCCAGGTGTAGCGTTGTCCCAGGCTCCCAGGCATCCGACACGATGTTTCTCCAGTACGTGGCTCCCCAGAACTCTTTACCCTTTGCGGGAACCAGCTTTTCATCCCGTGTCGTTTTTTGACGGCCCCGGGGCCCAAAACAGGCCCCCAGAAGCGGAACACACTTTGAAATGTTTTTTTGCATTTTGTTGACGACGCGAGGATGGTTGGTTTTCGGGTCTGGCAGCCGCTCGGGACGATTTGGGCACCCCTGGAACGCTCTCGGCGAGGCGCAGCTGCTGGAAAGCATCCCGCGGCCAGAGGAGCCTCCGGGAACTTGCGACCACGCTTGAAAATTTCGACGTTCGAGCTCCTGCCGACGACGTCGAGGCCAGCGCGCCCCCCACCCCCACCCCCGCTCCACAGGAGGCCATCGACGAGGCCGGCCTCGTGCGGCGGAAGCGCCTGACGTCGCGGAAGCAGCCCGGCGGCCGCGGGGCTGCCACCGCCACGGGCGCGCCGTCCGTGGGACGCGGCCTCGGCTTTCCTTCTCTGCCCCTCCTCCTCCAGCGGCGGAGGATGATGAGGAGGAGGACGAGGAGGAGGAGCAGCGGCAGCGGGAGCAGAAGGAGTTGCGGGAGGAGGGGGGGGATAAGGAGCAGCAGGAGGAGGAGGAGGACAGGCGGAGGAGGAAGGGGAAGAGGAATAGGAGGAGGAGGAGGAGGAGGAGGAGGAGGAGGAGAAGGAGGAGAAGGAGGAGGAGGAGGAGGAGGTGGTTCGGTACAGGGCCCCAGGTTACTGTGGAACTGCTGGCGTTTGGCTCAAACTGTTGTAAGCGCCGCCAGGCGGTGCGAGGCACCTTTGTACTTGGACGCTGACCGCTTACTGTGAGACGGAGCCCCATCTTCATTACGATCGTTATGATAAATTTGCATGGTAGCGGAGCGAAGTTATGGCAGTGAGAGCGGGCACGGCGGCACCCACTTCACGACAGGAATCGATAGAGCGCAGCCTTGCCATTTTCGGACCTACCTGACTCACCGCGTTCAGCCAAGGTGACTACGAGTTCGCCAGAGCTGGCCTGCAGGCCAACCATGACGCCATGACGAATTATCTTGAAGAGCAAGATCGCACGGGCAACCAAGATTTTCCCAACGAACACGCGATGTCACTGATAAGGTTTGGAATATCTACCGCAGCGCTGCTGAGCAGCATCAATCATGAGAACAAGAATGAACTAGACACCGCGCAAATAAAGGTGCGCTTGGCCGAACTGGAAAGAATGATCGAGGAAAGTGCGAACACCAGTAATCCTCGCTCAGGTAGCTGAGTAAGTCGGATCTGGCCAAACCACAGCTCACCAAAGGCCCGTGAGCGAATCGAAGGGAATCCAATCATTCAAGACCTTCAACGGAGATCGGACGAAAATTTGAGAGTGCAATGACACACAGGTTGCTCAACGCCGTGGCACAAGTCAACAACAGGAACCGCAAGGCTCTCGCGTTGCTGAATTCTTCACTTCGGGTATCCTCATCAGCCCGTTCAGAAATCTGTCCCATGAGAGTTGACGGGAAAAGGGACGAAGGGCACGTACAAAGTCAACAGAGAGATCTCTGGGCAGGCATTGGAGAGCCTCTTCGGGCCATTCCTTGGGCTCGCGGGGGGGGGCGACGGGAGGAGGAGGAGGAGGAGGAGGAGGAGGAGGAGGAGGAGGAGGAGGAGGAGGGGAAGGAGACGGCGAACCGCCTCCTCGGGCCGTCGTGGGACGCTCTTGGGGCCGTCCTGGGGCATTCGTGGGAGCCATGGAGGGCCTCTTGAGGCCATCTTGGAAGCTTTCGATCAAGGGGATCCCGATTTTCATCCACCCCCCCCTTGCAAGAGCCGTCTGGAGGGCCTATTGGGCCCCTCTTGGGGCCCGCTTGAGCAATCTTGGGGCAATCTTGAGGCTTCGCATCGGAAGCGAAAGGGCAGGACGGCACAGGTCATTGATTTCCGTGTGGCTTTTGACGTGAATTGGCCGCACCCGCGCCCCAACTCCCTCGCCGAAGCGAGGAGGCGTCTCAGCAGGCCCGGAGGCTTCTGATGGGAGCCTCTCAGACGCCCCCGGGCCCTTCTAAGAAGGCCCCTTCCGTCCGAGAAGCCCCTCCCCTCCTCAGGAGGCCGCCCCCCTCGCGCCACCCCACTGCTGGCGTCGCCGACATACCCGCGCCCCACTCCCAAGCTGCCCCATCTCCTCCCCTCTCGCGTGCGCTCGGTCTTCGTGGTTCCTCGCCCGGAACTCCTGAGTTCCTTCGTTCCCTCCCAGTGTTCGGCTGCATTCTCGGTTCGCCTCTCGTGCCTCGGGTCGCGAGCTGTGGACGCTCTGTCAGTCCAGGCTTCCTCCCGTAATCGCTGGGTTCAGCCGCGAGGTAGGCCGGCGCCCCTCTTCTCTTTTCTTTTCCCTCCCACGCCTCGCTCCTCCACCCGCCTTTGACATGTATTCACTATCTCCCTCGCGCTCTCGCACCCGCCCGCGTACTGGTTGTTAACACGCATGGCCTCAACAGAGGGTATTCCCCACGTGCTGTTCCGCACTGCTCGCCTTCGGCCGTCCCGAAAGGCACTCTTGCCTCAGCGCCTGCAACCCGCCTGCCCCCTGCACACGCACTCATGACTGATGAGTAGTGCCATTCGGGTTTGCTCTGCCGCGCTGCGCGCCGGTCGCCTGGTCTGCTAAGCCGTATGTATGATCCAGGGCTCCGGGCCCACGGGCCCCCCCCCCCAGATGGTATAGTCCCAGGATTCCTCGGACCCCCCCCCCCAGATGGTATGGTCCCAGAGACGACGACGACGACGACGACGACGACGACGACGACGACGACGACGACGACGACGGCGACGACGACGACGGCGACGACTACGATGACGACGATGGCGGCGACGACGCCGGCGGCGGCGGCGGCGACGACGACGATGACGACGATGACGACGGCGACGACGACGACGACGACGACGAGGACGACGAGGACGACGACGACGACGACGACGACGACGACGACGACGACGACCTCTGAACCACCACAGCACCATACCACATCCACAGGGTGGGGGAGGGGGGCACCGCAGCGCAGCACCACGCCACGCCCACAGGGGGGGCGGGGGGGACCATCGCGCGGGGGGGGGGGCCCAATGGCATCAGCATTGGGGGGGGGGGGGGCCCAAGCCCTGGACCATGTATGGCTCCCGCCCCACCGAACGGTCAGAATGATGCTGACGCGGGTTCCTTGGACCACGGTTCTCTGCGGCGATGCTTCCTTGCCCTTCCTTGCCGCCCAGCTCTGGCCAACGTGCTAGTTCAGTTGAGGGAGCGTACCTCGGTGACCTCACGGATCCCCATGGTATTGCCGACCTCTTTGTCGGATAAGGGAGATCATTCAAGATTGAACGACTTGCGCAGCGTCAAGAACCAGCGCACAGGTCGTACGGCGCAGTTCGATTCGGCGCATCGCTTCTCCTTGTGCGACGCGAGGCCATATCTTACCATGTCTCCCTTTGTGATGCAGGCGACGAGCCAGACACCCGATTTGGCCAAAGAGAAGGATTCAAAGTGCTGGACAGGGATGGGTTGGAGGGTTCGGATGTCAGATTTGACGCGAGCGCACCTATCTTGCCCCCTACACTATTCCATCCCATCTCTCCTCGCCTCTCCACTATTACCTCTCTCGCTCTCTCTATCCTTCTCTATCTCTCGTTTTATGTGTATATATATGTATATGTAAATATGTGTATGTACACACATATATACATATCCCTCCTATGTCCCTGCCACGCGGCACAGAAGGAGTCCGCATGGCTAATATGGCCAAGCGTAGTAAGAGTGGCTTCACGAGCCCACGCACCCAAAATAGCTGGAGTCGGATGCAGAACTACCAGGACCCGAATCCAGCCGAAGGCGATGCCGAGGCACTCTCTAATATAGTTTTGGTTCGCGAGTTTCTCGATAGTGACCTCCAAGAGGTCCATTAGAGTCCAGTCTGACCTGCTCTAACGCTCCCTTGGCGTATGCCAGGCCATCGCCCTTTTCGTGGGCTGGCTCGTGTGGGGCGGGGCGAAGATAGGGATAACTCTTTCCAGAGCGGTCCAGAAGGATTTCAGAGCTTTCCTGGACGCTCTGAGAAGGCCGCGGCGCCCGATGCGTCCTCCAGAACCGCAGGATCTCAGAGACTCCCGATTCATCCCCGTCCGATGCTGTCCCTGTCCTGGCTTCGTCTTACTCCGGTGGGCGGACAAAAAGTGTCCACACCTGTCGCGCCAGGACGACTCGTCATTGCAACGCGTCGATCGAATATGTAGAGCCCCCGTCCCCCAAACTCAAAGTCGTCGGGGTGGGGCGGCAGGCCGCGGTCCAGGCACAAAATGTGGACACTTCAACTTTGGGTTCGGGGGGGAGGGGTGCGAGTCAATTGCGTCATGCAGGTGTTGTTGTTATCATGCCACAGTGTCTTGCCGCCCTGGGTGTGGGCACTTTTTGTCCGGGCACCGTCATGATTCGGACGGGGGGGCGGGCAGGTTTCGGCCAGGACAGCGTGCGATACCGAATGCTGGCGCTAAAGCTTCTTCTCGGCGCCTTCCGGGTCATAGCTTTTCCCGTTGCCTAGACACCACGAATATGGATCCTCTGTCATTCTGTCGTGCCCCTCCCGCCGCCCTCCTCTGCTCCCATCTCCCCCCCCTCCCCTTCTCCCTTCCTCCTCCTCCCTTCGCCTCCCTGCCCCCTCCCACCTCCCGTCTCCCACCTCCCGTCTCCCCCACACGGCCGCCCCCCTCCCAGATCGATCTGTCGACCTAATTTTGGACGCTTTCTGACCAGAGTTTCGAGGCGAATCCAGCCGTGGCGACGAGGGACCCCGAGGAGGCTCAAGAAAGGCACAAAGGCACCGACATCAAAAGGCACCCCCCCCCCAGGAATCCGACTTCGTGGTTTCTGCGCAGCGAGATTAGGGCCCCTTCCAGGGGACCGGTTTCTCATCTCATCTTGGGTCGTCGTCTGACGGCCCCCAGGGCCCACGAAAGGGAACCCTCTCCCGAAGCCGAGGATGGCCGAAAATTGTCCGGTGTGCGAGCCGCCTGTGCGGAGAGGGGGCCCACGCTCAGCAGGGAGGAGGTTCGCGCGTATGCTGTCGCCCCCCGTCCTGCCCAGGTCCCCTCTCGGGCCACCACTTCTTTGGATAGGCTGGAGGCGCGTCGTGGTCGCCTTGCTGAGCGTGAGGCGCAGACAGCCTAAAGGTGGTCTGGACTGCTTTGGTTTGTCTTCCTTTGCGCCCGCCTATCTCGTATAGCGTTTTTTGCACACCAAACTGTCCCAAATTAATTTTCGATGGCTTGTTCTAATCAGAGCGTCACCGGCCTGTCCATAGTGGTACTTCCACGGCAGCGTTTGCCACATATATCAATCTGGCCTAAAGGCTTCGGTTTGCCCGGCGGTGGCTAACAACAAAGAAAGATTAGCGAGGGGGACCCGCGCCCTCCCCCCGCGGGCACCTTCCGGGCGCTGCTGGAAGTGGCCCTGGCCCAGGACGGCCCCAGCGCTCCCAGGGAGGGCGCAGAGGGCCTCCCCAGAGCACCCCCTCACGAGGCCTCCGAGGGCCCATGGAGGCCATTTCTTTATTGCTTGGGGTATGACGGGCGTCATGGCCCCCGCGGCCCCCCCCCCCCCGGGCGTCATGGCCCCCGCTCCCCCCCCCCCCTATGACGTAACGCTCCCCCCCCAGTGCGCTCCGGGCACTGCCGCCGTGCGCATTGGGATCCGCGTAGGTGTCCGCGTAGGAATCCGCATAGGTGTCTGGTCCGCAGGCGTCGTCGTCGTCGTCGTCGTCGTCGTCGTCGTCGTCGTCGTCGTCGTCGTTCGTCGTCGTCGCTCGTGGTTCGTCGCTCGTCGGTCATCGTCGTCGTGCGCGCGGACGCGGCTGGAGCCTGCTTTTAAGTCCGGGCCGATGACGGCAATCATCTGGGGGGGGTCGATGACGTCACGTTTGGCGCCGGCGGCGTTTGGGAATGGTTAGCTCCTGTGTACATCACAGTGCCCGCGTGCGCCACAGCGCCTGTGTACACCACGCCGCCGATGTACAGCACAGCACCCGCGTGCAACACAGCGTCAGTTTGTGCCACCGTGCCTGCGGGCACAGCAGCTCCTGTGTACACCACAGCGCCTCCGTACACCACATCAGCCGTGCGCAACACTGCACCAGTGTACACCACAATGCCTGCGTGCATTGCAGTGCCTGTGTACGCCACGGCGCCTGTGTGCACCACATCAGCCGTGTGCAACACAGCACCATTGTTGTGTATAGAATTTCAGAAGGAATCCTTGTGACAAAATGGAGCGCGTGTGGATTCCAGAGAAAACAATGGAGAACAAATCTTCATGGACAAAGGAGCGCCGCTGGAATCTACGAGTCCCCCCGAGTCCGCCCGCATCACCCTAACTCCCATTTGCGTCCAGGAGGCTCCAGTTAAACTGGCCGTCCGAGAACCAAGTGGACCGATTCAAACGACCATTCTGCGGTGCACGCTGAGATGCGCACGTGCGTTGTAACGCCAAGCCGCACGACAGGGGGTAAGAAGGAGGAAAAGGAGGACGAGGAGGAGGAGGAGGAGGTGCAGGAGGAGGGAGGAGGGAAAAACGCTGCATTCGATTATCAGAACTGTCCTGGCGTGGCGTTTAGTTGTCCGCATCATATCATGACGTACATGCTCCTTCTACCTGTCCTATGCACGCAGGCACTGTGGTGTACACCAGCGCTGCGTTGCACGCGGATGCTGTGGTGTAGACAGGCGCTGTGGCGTGCACAAGCGTTGCGGTGCACGCAAGCATTGTGGTGTACACGACGTTGTGTTGCACATGGCTGCTGCGGTGTATGTACACCGGCGCTGTAGTGCTCCCAAGTATTGTGGTATACACGGGCGGTGCGTTGCACACGGCTGTTGCGGTGTACGCAGGCGCTGTGGTGCACGCGCGCGGTGTGGTGCACGCGACGTTGTGGTGCACACAGGCGCAATGGGCAAATCGCCACTTACATGCTGCTCGCGTCGTCGTCGTCGCTCGTCGCTCGTCGCTCGTCGCGTCGTGCGCACGGGCGCGGCTGTGGTGCCAGAACCACACGGCGGGGGGGGGCGTCACGTCATACCCTCCCCCGGCCTCCCCCCCTCCCCCAACCATGACGCCCGTCATCGCCGAACATAAAGGAACGCCTCCCTGAGGCCTCCAAGATGAGGCGAAAAGCTGGGAGCAGCTTGAGCCAGGACCACTTCCCCAGATCTCCGACGATATGATTGTTTTTACCTAGCCGTTTTTCCTCGAATTCGGCCTCTGGGATCTGTCATCCGGCTCCTGGGCCATCGTTAAAGGGACCAGGACGACAAACGACTCCCAAGGAAAGGGGCCGGGAACTCTGGGGCCGCAGACTGGAAAATTCATACCCGCGGAAGTCAGGGTCCAACCAGCAGCACCCGAACCTTGACATCCGCCGATTTGATTATTCCAATCTGCGGCCCCAGAGCTCCCCACCCCTTCCCTCGGGTGGTTTTACTTGTCCTGAGTCCACTTCTGATAGCCCAGGGGCCCGACGACGGGCCCAATAAGCCGAAGTCGAGGAAAAACGCCGCCAGCTAAAAGATATGAGACGTTCCAGAAAGGGCCTCGCCTTCGAGGATCGAAGGAGTTGCAAACTCTCTTCCTCGCGGCCGAGGGCGGCGGAAGTCAAACGAGGGTGCCGCCGCCGGCAGAGGCCGGCGGCAGGGGCCGGCAGAAGTGAAAAGCCGGCCCCCCAAGAGATGGCAAGGCTTTTTGGCCCAGGGCTTCCGGAACCAGCCACGTCGTCGTAGATCTGGGCCCGGATCTCCCCTTTCCCGGGAGGAGGAGGGAGGAGGAGGGAGGAGGAGGGGAGGAGGAGGAGGAGGGAGGAGGAGGAGAGGAGGATGGGAGGAGAGGAGGAGAGAGGGGGAGGAGAGGGAGGGAGGAGGAGGAGAGAGGAGGAGGGAGTGGGGGCCCCTCCTCGCCCGCCCGGTGTTGGCGCGCGCCGGCCGGCCAGCCTCGCGCGGGCTCGCGCGCGCTTGGGGGGGGGGGCGCGCCGAGGCTACGCCGCCTCCGCCTGCGCGCCCTCGGTGTACGCCCGCTCTCTCGGGGCGGGGCGCCGGGCGGAGCGGGACCCTCCTCCTCATCCTGCTCCTCCCTCCTCCCTCCTTCCCCTGCTCCCCTCCCTCCCCTCCCTCCCTCCCTCCATCCTTCCCTCCCTCCTCCTCCTTCCCTCCTCCCTCCTTCCCCTCCCTCCTCCTCCCTGCTGCTCCTCCTCCCTTCCCTCCTCCTCCTCCTCCCTCCTCCTCCATCCCTCCTCCCTCCCTCCTCCCCCTCCTCCCTCCCTCCTCCTCCCTCCCTGCCCGCTCCCTCCTTCCACGCTGCCGGCCGTGGGCGCTTCGTGGGCGCCCCGTGCGCGGGGTGGGCCCGCGGAGGTTTCGCCACGGCGTCGCCTCGTGGGCGCCTCGTGGGCGCACCGCACACACACGACATGGCTCACGCCACACAGATTGCGCCACGTGGCATAAACCTCGCAGCTCGGAGGTCGGTAGACCTCCTGCCCTGACACGCCGATTAGCGAATTGGCCGTCTTCGGTTCGCGAGAGGGCGTCGCGTCTGTCATTTTTGCGGGTTCGGGTCCGTCGGTTTCGGTCCCAGGCCGTTTTCACTGCAGGGAGGTTTACTAAAGGGAGGTTCGTCCACCGCCGAGTAGTTCACGCCACACAGATTGCGCCACATGGCATAGAGTTGTCGAGGACGACCCATGGAGAGGAAGCATGCTGCCAAATAATTTCCAGATGTCTAAAACATGTCTTAAACATATGTTAAGCATGACTTTAACGTGTTTAGAACATGTTTAGCACATGGCTCCGGCATGTTAAACGCATGTTAAATTCACTGATCGGATTGTTCGGGTGTCCATTACCGTGGCATCCACAAGCATAGACCTCGTAGCTCGTACCGGACAGAGTGCAACACACATGACATTGCATAGCCGTGGATTGCACCACCTTACTTGCACCGCACAGTTCACAGCACCTAGAGTGCACCAGATCTGTTTCACCACCTAGCTTACTTACATCACATAGGTCAGATCACATCGATTGCACCGCATAGCGTACATCCAATAGCTCATGTAACATATGTGGCACCATACATGTATACATCGACAAGCATTATACATCAAAATCGCCACATAGTCTACACCTGAGAGCTCCCACCACGTAGATAACACTTCCTGGTTTACACGTCCACAGTGCAACGTCTCACCGTGCGGAGTCCAGGCTGGCAACTATTGCAATACTGAACGCGGGTGTAACCCTAGCCGCGAGAGGATTGCAGAGTCTTGTCTTCTCTTGGAAAAAGAGTACGTGTGTAAATACATATATATACACACGTAGACGCACACATACCTGGTGCAACCATGCGGTGCACCACACGGGCCTACAGCAACAGTGCGGTGCACCACACGGGCCTACGGGGCACCACAGAGCACCAAAGAGCGGCCACCAGAGATCACAGGAGGCGCCCACGGGGTGCCCGCGAGCCGAGACATGGGCGCCGTAGCGCCCACCACAGACCTCCTCCTCCTCCTCCTCCTCCTCTTCCTCCTCCTCCTCCTCCTCCTCATCCTCACCCTACTTTTCCAATGCCTCGTCCATCGCCCGCGGGCAGCCACGCCCATGAGCCCCCACGTTGGCCACGAGCCGCAAGAGTGGCAGGCACGCAAGGTTTCAGGCACACAAGGATCGGGGGCGTCCGAGAGGGGGGTGAGCACCAGGAGGTGTAGACATCATGGCCGGGCCACGGAATCTCCACGGCGTCATGGCCCCCGCTTCTTCTTTCAAGGCGTTTCGTGTCCCCCGCCCCCTCCTCGTCCGCGCACATGCCTCGGGCCATGATGCGCCCACCCAACGTGTCCTGACCCCACCTCTTCGGCGCATTCGAAAGTAAGAACCTCTGCTGCAGGCACCTGTTGGAGGAAGCCGGGCGGCTGGCTTTTCTGAGTTTGGGCCTCGTCGGGCTTGCTTCGCGCCTCGCGACCTGCCACCCGTGCGGGGGGTCCACACGGTTACCCGTGTCGAGGGCTATGGCTCCCCGCGGATTCGGAAACATTCCCGCGGATTGTTTTCCAAAAAAATGCAGCTTCGGAGGTCTGGGGAGGTCACTCAGTGCCAACGGGGGTCACCACTAGGGGGTCGCCAGCGCCTCATGAGCATCGAGACTCGAGGAACGAGGAGCGAGGGGCGTTTTGAGGGATCGAGGGCTTTTGTCCAATGCGACCCCCCCCCTGGCATTCCTCGGGGAAGGGGGGCGGTGTGGGTGTTGCCCGAGGTGTCCCTGGCCCAAGAAGCCCCAAAGATATCCGTGGAGGCCCCCACAAGCTCCAGAGCACTCCTCGCGAGGCCCAGAGGGCTCCCGGGGGCTCCAGAGAGGGGCGAAAAGCTGCGGATCACCCTACCAGGATGGTGGCTGGGCGACGACACCTGCACGTTTTGAATCGGCAGCCCCAGCGGTCGCGGGCGCGGGGGACGAGTCCAGCGGGGCGCGCCGAGCGCGAGGCGCACGGAGCGGGTGGGAAAACAGAGAACGGCCGCGGAGGACGAAGCTGTTTTTATATATTTTTCCTCACCTAGCTCAGCCTCGAAGGTTCTTGCTCGCTTCTTAAAGCCAATCATGCAAACCGCCCGGCGGTTCCCCCAGTCCCCTGGGACCCAAGCGAAAGCAACAACAAAGGTAAAAGCAAAACGCGCGGTTCCCCCAGTTGCGCTCCCTGGGTGCCAAGCAAAAGCAAAAGGAAAGGCAAAATTGAAGGCAAAAGCGAAGGCAAAGCAAACACATAGCATAGCATAGAATAGCATAGCATAGCATAGCCTATCATAAGCGAACAAGAGCACAGCACAGCATAATAGCCAGCCGAGCCCACCATACATTCGAAATAGCATAGCAGGCAAGAGAGCATAGCTAGCATAGCCAGGCAGCACAGCATCACTATTGCTGCTGCGTAGATGTAAGATCAGGCTAAGTAATGTAGATTATTTAGTGTAAAATGGTAGATAACACTATGGTAGATGTAGGTTCGATTTGATGCAGGGAATATATAGTAGATTAAAGAAACTCCCAAGAGTCCCCGCCCTCAGCTCCGTGCCTCTTGCATTTGCTGCTTTCTCCGCGACCGCTGCCTGCTCTGCTGCCTGCTCACTTAAGGCGTGGCGTCTCGGCGGTTTATGGCGCTACTACTCTAACACTACTACTTACTAACTACTACTACTTTACCACTACCACTACCAATACTGTTACTACCACTACTGTTACTACTACTACTACAACTACTACTACTACTACTACTACTACTACTACTACTACTACTACTACTACTACTACTACTACTACTACTAGTACTACTACTACGACTACTACTGCTATTACTACTACTACTACTACTACTACTACTACTACTACTACTACTACCACCACTACTACAATTACTACTACTACTACTACGACGACGATGACGACGACGACGACGACGACGACGACGACGACGACTACTACTACTACTTCGCCGCTACGAAAGTTCGGCCAAAATTCAACGCCTCCCGGTAGGCGACGAAGCCCCAGTACAACGTTGGCAGTGGGCCCGTGAGGCCGAGGGGCCCCAGTACAATGTTCGGTTGAAGCATTTTTCGCTCCAGTCTCGGGCGGCACCGCCCTTTCGAAATCGAGCCCGCGGGTTTCGAAATCCAGCCGAGCTCGTTTTGGGGAGGAAGTCCGAGGCGAAAGCCACATTTCGAAATCGAGCCCGAGGGTTTCGAAATCCAGTCGAGCCCGTTTTGGGGAAGAAGTCCTAAGCGA